TCTTTCCCAAAAGATGATTGTATCGAGCAGCAAACTGTTACATATTATTAATTTATTCGTATATTTAAAATAAACAAGTATAACAGATAAAAAGATATATAAAAATAATAAATAAAAATAATAAAACAAAATTTTAAAAATATTGCATATACATACTTCACATTTTGATAATGAAAATGCATGACCGAGATGGAGACGTCCATTCATATAAGGATATGGAAAAGTTACAAAAAATTTTTCATCTTTTGAGTTCTCATCTAAAGGTGCATCCATGTTGTATACGTTTGCGAATTTCCATTTCGCTTGTATGTTTTTCTCAATTTCTTGAAGATATTCAACTTTAAAGGTTCCTTTTCTCTCTGAGGTCTATTACGAAAGATATTTTTTTTAACAATGATGCAAAATAATATATAACATTATTATAAATCAAATTGGCCAGATAATATAATTGTTTTCACTGCATTTGTGACAATTGAAAATTACGATAAATTATGATATAGATAAATTATAATGTAATTTATAATGTTCAATTGTAATAAATGCAATAAAAAAATAATTGTTTTACCGTTCAAAATATATCCGATTTTTATAATGAAATAATATATTTATAGTTATTTTTATATATATAGCAAATAGGTTAAGCTGCATAAAAATATGCACTTTGCTTTATGCTTACATATATGTGATAAAAATAGCAAAATTTATTATTTAATAATCACATATATTTACCATTTTAATTACATTTATTGCAAACAGCAATAAGTAACAATATTACATATGTTCACGAAAGTTTACTGCACGATAGTTCAAGGCGTGGAACGTGGACGGTGGAACAGCACAGCATGGAACCAATGATGCGAATTCCGGGCCGCTTACAGTACAGTTACTAGCATGAAGAGGGCATAAAAAGGTACATACACTACAATGAGTCCATATCTGTGTATATTTTCGCATGCGTGGTGTCCGTCTATGCTCTCTTCATGCTAATAACCGTGTTGCAAGCGGCCCGGAATTCACATCACTGCATGGAACATGGAACTCCTCCATACACATACGCGTTCACTTCACATACACGATACACACACGATACATATGTGTATAATGATGAAACATATATAGGTATTGCAGTTTCAAATATAATCTAATTGTGCCTTGAAAAGAAGAATGAATAATCAGTGCAGTTAAAAAGAACAAGTTCATCTATAAATATTTAATTCTTGAAAAACGAATTTTATATATACAATTTCTTGAATTAAAATTATTTATTAAACGCTTAATTCATAAATTTTTTATTTACGTTAATGTTTAAAATCAATGTTATGTAGGACATAATATAATTTATTAATTTTTTTAAGTTTTTGTATATAGGATAATAAATAATATAGAAAATCGCATAAAAGAAAAAATCGACATATTTTTATATTATAATGCTTTTTTATTAAATTAGATTTTATTAGATTTCAATACTATAAATTAGTTTCACACTCTTTATAATTTACTTTTTTATATTTTATTATATTAAAGTATATATATATATATATATATGTGTGTGTGTGTGTGTGTGTGTGTGTGTGTGTGTATATATATATACTTTAATATAATAAAATATAAAAAAGTAAATATATATATATGGTGTTTGTTTTCTTATCCTTTTACATTTGTGCAACAGATTTTAAACCTAATAAACTAAAGCATTTCTCTAAAATAAGCGCAGTAGCTTCCATGAGCAAGAGACGTCCCATATTTATTTTTACTATTTCACCAGACTGATCCTTTTCCACGCAGTAACATTTGTCGTAAAATTCTGTAAATGCGCATGAAACCTCGTAACAAAACTCGCACAGCGGATTCAAGTATAGGTCTTCGGTAACGCCAAGAATTACATCGGGAAATTTTAACAATACTTTGGCCAGTTTCCATTCTTTTTCGTGTTCTAATGAAATCGGAACTTCATGCGAACGCTGTCGCAACTCGTCTTTTGTAATGTTCGCCGTTCTAGCAATAGAACGAATTCGAGTTAAAGCATACAATAAGTAAACGGCTGTGTTGCCTTTATCTTCTAGCATTTTATCAAATGAAAATACATATTCATGATTTCTATTATGCAATAAATCGGCATATTTTATGCAACCGTATGCCACCGATTCTTGGGCTGCCTTTAGTTCTTCTTGCGACAATACTTTGTCACGTTCTTTCTCTTTCAGTTTTTGCAGTGCTCTCTTCAAGCCTGAAATGCAATATGCGTAACAGTTAAATTTTCAGAAATGAAGTAATAGTATCAAATTAATAATTAAAATCGTTTTATTACCTTCGTCCAATAATTCGCTGAGTTTCACAGTGTCACCGGATCTGGTTTTAAATTTCTTTTTGTCTTCACCTAAAACAGCACCGAAGCCAACATGATCCATCCTATGAAAGCTTTTCAAGATACCTGCCCTTTTGGCACAACTTTTTATGATTTGGAAATGCAGAGATTGACCAGCATCTGTCACATATATCAACTGTAAAATTATAGAAATTATAAAATTATTTAATGATATATTAGGAATATAAAGATGCTTATAAAATGCGAAATATGATACTTGCCCAATCTGCTCTTTCCTTTTCGATACGATACTTAATACAAGCCATGTCTGACGTATCATATGTAAAACCTCCATCAGATTTTACTATAGTTAATGGTACCCCACTACCATGTTTCTCTCCCCACATTATCTTTCGCCCATTATCTTCTTCTAGCATATTTTTTGATTCTAGCTCTTGAATTATCGACTCCATATATTTCTGATAAAATGATTCACCTCTTTCTATCAGTTTGATATCCAATCGAGTATATACTTTCTCAAATTCTGCATCAAATACAAAAATAATTAAGATTAATTAATTCTTCTTTTTGAATGATTAATTATATCAACACAGCTAATTACTGTATTTACCTTGCCTAGATACATCACATATCATTTTCCATGCTTTTGTCATATTAGGCTCAAAAGCTTGCAATTTAACGACACATTCGTACGCACGTTTTTTGAATTCTTCGTCTTCATCAAATCTAGTCTTAGATTCTTTATAAAAAGTCTGTATGTGTACACAAATGTATAAATTATCAATATATTTATAAAGTAATTATACTATATATACTACATTATATGACTATATAATTACCTGAAGATCTTCAATTGGAGGAGTAATGGTTAAATAGTTGGGAAACTTATCTTGAAGATGTGCTATCAACATACCAAATTGTGTACCCCAGTCACCTACATGATTAAGTCTCAACACATCATGTCCTAAGTATTCTAACAATCTTGAGATACTGTCTCCGATTATCGTAGATCTTAAGTGTCCAACATGCATTTCCTTGGCAATGTTAGGACTAGAAAAATCTACAACTACTCTTTTCTTTTTAACATATGGAGGAAGAACTTCACCAGCCCATAACCAATTGCGCAGAACAGACTGTCCAAATTCACGTTTTAGATATATGTTTATGAATCCTGCACCAGCTATTTCATATTTCTCAATAACAGAGGATACTTTCAGCTTGGACATAATTTCTTTAGCAACATCACGTGGACTTACTTTGAAACCTGTAATAATAATAATAATAATAATAATAATATTGAATTTATGTTTTTCTCGTCAAGTTTTATTGAATACAATACTGAGAATAAAATATTAAATATTTTTAAGTAGTCAATTTTTACCAGAACTACTTAGTTGTTGTGCTAAAGGCATTGCACTGTTACACTGATAATCTCCAAATTTAGGATTAGTGCTAGTAGTCACTATTACTGGTGGATCTAGTATATCAGGATAAGCAGCACTGATAGCCTTATGAAAAACAGCAGAAACATTGTTCTTTATACTAATTGTATCTGCAGTTCCAAATAATCCCATCTTATTGTCTAGTTTATCTCTCTGCATTTCCACAGTCTATAAAAAATTATAACAAAGAATACACATATGCGAAATAGATAAAAAACTTAAATAAATTCTGTTACAATAATACAAATTCTCTACACTTAAAATCTACCCTTTTAAGTATCGTTATCCTGTGCGTCAATTTGGCATTTTCCTGTTGCAAATTCTCGAATTCCTCTTTAGTTATATTACTCGGAATATCAGTCATAAAGCTCCGTTGCAGCAATTCAAGTTGCTGTTTTAAACCGAGTATTTCTCTCTCCTGCAATATTGAACAGTATGAAAATCACATAACCTCACAACTATCTGAACTATCGAAAGTATCAAATTATTATAAATTTCTAACATAATAATCCATGAATATTAAAAATTAATTGCCAGAAAAGTTTACCGCTGCGGTTGCTCGTTCGTTAAATAAATCCATGTCTTTTTTCGACAGCATTTCAATTTTTTTCAGTTTTCAAGAGGACCTTGGAGGCTGGGAGGCCCTGTTAACAACGTGGTCAGTAGTCGGTTTTATTTCAAAAGATGCACCGTCGATAAAATAGGTTTGTGACTCAATAATCCTAATAAATACAAAATGTAATCCTAATAAATACAAAAATTCCATTCATGTAATTTACACACACACACACACACACACACACACACACACACACACACACAACACACACACACACACATTAATATAAAAAAAAATCATACAATTTATAATTAAGGCTACGTTCCACTTAACACTCATGGAATTATTTCATCTTTGTTGTTTATCAAATGTTAAACAAGGACAAACAATGCTCGCAAGCGTTGCGATCGTCAAGTGGAATGCAGCCTAAGTAGTCTTTTCCAATTTTTTGCATTATGTAGTTATTTTAACTCAGTTGAACATGTTTTTCTATTTAATAATATGTTTTTGGTAGTAGTTTCATTTTTACTTTTTAGAGTTTGTCAATACATGAGGGAACCTACAGTTTAACGAATCCGAACGGCGGAAAAATTGGGTTTAACGTGATATTATAAATTCAACAGTGCAACAATAAATTCCATTATTAAAAGACATCTATAATTAAGTTTATTCTAATCTGCTATAACTTATCCATCTTAATTTCCTAATGAATAAAGAAACAAATTACTATTTTAAATGAATAACGCATAATAATAACGAGTTATTTTTCAAAAGTTACTTTCCTCCTAATTCTGGCATTATCGTTAAAAAATTGTAACGTCATTATTAAATCATTACTGTAAAATAATATATAAAAAGAAAAAGAGGATCGCCAATTAAAATCGGCGAAGGTGGTGGAGGGTCTCTATAGGTTGATTCTAAGGTTGATTCGTTTTTATCAAATTTAATCAAGATTTCTATTGTAATTATATTCGATCGAAAAAGAGAACAACCTGAAAAGTTGAAGCTGTTTTTACATTTTTCTGTAATAAATATAATTTGTAAATTTATTAATGAATTTTATTAATAGCGAGTATTGTAAAAATATGACTATACATATCTTATTTTTTGTTCAAAAAATGAAAAATTAAGAAGAATTCATAGTATTGTTCAATTTCAGCGACAAATGAGTTATGTGATTTCGTATATTGCTTTGACTGCCGCTCGTGTAAATAAGTTAGCAGCGATGGAATTAACAATTAACGTATATTAAGCTGCTATTTTAACACAATCAAATGCGACTTACACAAAAATTAATTGCTATTTTTGCTAATTGTTTGTTCTATTTCTGACTCTTTTGCTTTAGCCAATTCGCAAAAAACAGTGGCTGTGCTTGCTTAAGATTAGAGTCAGACACAAAGGAAAAACAGAAAATTAAACAAATATATATATTTGTAATATTATTTAAGAAAAATTGATTTGTTTTTCGATTTCATTGCACCAGTCGATTCTCCAAAAACAATAGTTGGAATATTTACATTTTATATGTACCAACAATTTACAAATTATATCTGTTGTTTGCAATAACAGACTATATAAAAATATTCAATTTTGTGAGAAAAACATTACCTAAAATATATTCAGAAGAGTGACATACGGCAAAGGTGCTAAATAAAAAAAGTCCCTTTTTTATATCAATCATTTATTTTCTCCATACAAATTATAAACATGTTTTTCAAATACTGTACATATACTGAGTTCTATTATATTTTTAAACCTCTAATTTAATGATATATCATTTTATTTATTTTTTTCATTTACTCGTTAAAACAACTACTTTGATCCTCATTTCATTTCATTTATGATAATATACAGGTAGATCCTTTTGTTTTCTTTTTTTCTCTGATGAATCTTTTTTAGTCATTTTTACAATCAAGCTCAATTCTTTGATATGGCAGTTCCAGGATATGAATAAATTAAATTTTTTAAAGGATGCAAATTTTTTCGAAAGTTTGTCGAATTAACGGACCGAATAGACGTAGTCAATACTTTCATAGAGATAAAATTCGATTTAATTATATTAGAGACGGTAAATATACGGTTTAGAATTTAAAGCATAATTAAAAATATTCTGTTTCATAAATATATTTTAATTACTCATCTATGTATCTAACTGTTTATAAATACAAAGAGTAAATAAAATATATTAAATAATTCATAAGTAATTGTTTCATTTCTCAGTAAATACATAATTTACATACAGCTATTTAGCAATATAGTTATTAACATAGATAAACAAAAATAAGTAAGAGTTAACAAAGAAATATCAAACATCTATTCTTGTATCAAAGTATCTGTAAAAAACTAATAAATCTCTATGAAAATATTAAGAATATTTTTGCATTTTTTAACTTTAATTTCGAAATGTGGAACTGGATTCATAACGAGTTGCAAGCAAAACAGTTTCTCTCTTCTCACGGGAGTACTTATTACAAAAATGTAGCTGCTGGAACTTGAACAATTTCTCATGGTCTTCAATGTAAATATATACAAAGATATTTAACAAATCTGAGTCAATCGATTGATCGTATCGTATGTTATTGTGTACAGTGCAAGTTGTTTCTTTTTTTTTCTTTTCCTTAATCTACTTCTGCATTTTGTATCTTTTTATCGGGCCTCGATTTTCGATATCATCAATATAGAGTGAGAGAGTACTATTTTCTATCTTCACAGAAGACATAGATAAATATATATTTTTATAATCTTTTCTTATAAATGTAATTCGCTTACTTTAAAATCATTACGCGTAAATGTCAATAATATTAGTGTCGGTGCTCCTTTTTCTCAATTTCATACTCGTTCTGTTTTCAAATTTCTGTATAAAATAAAAATCTACACGACCGAATCAAATTTCTGTGAGTATCTTTCAAAAATATTGCGGAATTTTTTTAGAAACAATGTATTACTAAGCAATTCGATATGTAACCACGAGACGTTACCTTGTTCATTATATATGTAATTATAATTAAATATGTATTATAAAAACATTACATGTTATATTTATTGAAATTACTGCAAATGCAAAATAAAAAACTTTGTCTTTAATAATTATTGACAAGCAACGTATTGCAAAAAAATTATATTAAAAATTATATAAAAAATTATATAACTTATTTATATGTAGCATAGTCGTGGTTACAATTTCAATTTAATGTGTAAACGATTTTGCTAAATCACAATTTACATATTGACGAAAGATATAATAAAAAACGATGAAGGAATTACTACTGGCTAGCATCCATTTGAAAGAAATACTGCCACGAGTCATTTTTGGAGATCATACAAATAGATATATTATTGAGAAAAATTAAAGTTACTTTCTTTTATATTTTTAAATATTTTTTTTAACTCTCTTCCGAGAATTACTTTCAAATAGACACTGAGCTTATATGAAAAAAAAAAAAAAAAAGAAAAGGTAACAATGAGTAAAACATATAAAAGCTGCCAGTTAAAAAACACATTCACATATCGATTAAACATAAATTCCTTTCTACTCCAGTCAACCCATGTAGCAAATTCACTTCTCACCTCAAATAAAAAGCGACATTTCTGACTAAAAGAGATCAAAATACATTGCCACTTGTTCCGTAAAAGTTAATTAAAGTAAGAATACAGTAAATAATATTATCTATATATATATATATATATATACATGAGATGTGATTAAATAAAGTCAACTGCAAGATATGGTCCTCTACTCGTTTAAACAATTGCCACTAAGTTCATGAAAAATCTCTGTATGCATTCTCTATGGTCCATGTTTGTGTAATATGTAAATAATATTATTAAGTACGAAACGTTTTTTTGCAACGAGCTATTGTATCCCCTTATATCAGTGCTTTGAAAAATACTTTTAACTTACAGAGATTTGGAGAGCGATATTGAAATCAGATCGAATGATGAACCATAATTTGAATATCAACGCTCCATGTCATTATGAATGTAATGCCGTATGTTTTGCTATAATTTTTTTTAAGATTGATTTCAATACACTCTTGATCGAAAAATGCCAAGATCAGATTTTTAGAGTAATCAAAGTCCCTATCACATAGCTATAACTTATGATGGTGGCCTTCCATCTGTATAATCGATGTATATCGATCTGGTATATCGCTTTGTAAGTGTAGAGAAAGATAAAAACAAACAAAGTACGCTAAGTAAAGAAAATCATTCATCAGTAAGAAATACTATAGAAAATGATCTTAGAATACAAAGTAAAGCGATTATTATGAGAAATACAAACACATCCCTTTAACCTAAGTGTCGCTGCCTAATCAGAATGGATTTGCATATTAGCAAATGCGTTTTATAAGATTAAATTTGAAAAATATATATAAATAATCATTCTTTTTTAATGATCAATTGCAGATTGATCGCTGTAGCAAGAATCTCACTGAAAGAATTTTAGCATGATGCGAAAAGCAGTTCTGTGACAAAGTTTAAAGAAACGCATGTTAATGTTCAATATTTCATTTTTCTTTTGTCTCTTATTTATAAATCTGATAATTAAAACAATATATAATATTGTATTTCATATTACATAAAAAAATCATAATGGCATATCTCTCGGTCAAACTTCATTTCTTTTAAAACTTAGAAATCACTTAGATAACTTTATACACGATCATTTATAACAATGTAAATCGTAATCATTGCATTAATATTTAACATATATACTCTTATACTTAATATATGTATATCTGTGTGTGGATGTTTCTTGTCTCGAGTCTCTATAATATATCGTCTAATTATAATAATAAAACTATAATACTAAATCAAATATTGAGGTACCATGCCTTTCCGAGATCAGAGTCTGTTTCTGTTTTCTCTTTTTTTTTATTTTTGTTGCATAATTATATCTTTCTATGCAGTTTTATACCAAAATTTATTGTCGATTTTAAATTAATTCATTACAATATATTCTCTCTTATTAAAATTGATTCTCTTTTAAGATTAATCGACGGTTTATTGAGACGTCGATTAAATAGGACAATGATTATGATCATAAAATATATACATGAAAAACTTTTTAATTCCTATTTTATTATAAAATTTGCAATTATATGATATTTTAAAGATATTGTTCGGGATAAAGTAAAAATTTCTTCTTAATATTATATCAATTTTTTATCTATTAACTCAAGATAATTACACAAAGTGTAATTAAATTAAATTATTAAGTTACTAAAAGTGTGAATTTTGAATCAAACTCAAGCTCGGGCTGGCCAGTACTCTATTATATATGTGTACATATGTGTGTAGAGTCCTTATTAAGGAGTTTCACGGAAAACGTTCGCAACATATTTCATTAATTTTATTTTGCCTTACAAAACACTCGAGTTCGAGAATAGAAATTAAACTCTTTTTGGGATATTTATAATATTTATTATATAATACTTAGAATTTTTCATCTTTAATTTAATTTCTTAGCATGCACAGCCGGTTCTTGAAATATCGCGCAACTTGTTTCTTTTATTTTCTAATATTTCTCTACAACTAATTCTTTAAAATGAGAAAAAATATTCTTTATAAAATTGAAATTTATGAAATTAGCATGTTATATAAGAAAAAATTAGCATATAAAAATTTGCAAAAAAAAAAGAAAAACGTAGGCAATGGAATATTATAATAATTGTATAGGAAGTTTTATTATAACATCTATTATTTACTCAGTATTTACAACTGTTTATAGGATGATTTTTCATAATTTTTATGTCATCGACCGAATATTTTCCATCGAAACTCTCCTATGGACGCGAAAATATTTTTGTATAAGTGTAAACATGTTTACACTCATATATTCACGCATCATATCGCACAATCAAATTTCTCTATTCTAAATGTTCTTCTATTCTAAATTAGCTGAATTCCTCTAAACTAAATTTCTCTTTTTACGCTACTGCTTACTGTTTCCCCATTTTGTCATATTTGACACAATAATGCAATAAGAACAAAATATACTACGTAATAACATTTTCAATCAATTCGTGTCATAAGAATAAGAAGTAAAGAAAAGATTACAGAAATGCTCAACATTGCTCGATTCCAATAACTTTAGAATAGAGGAACTCTGCTATATGCATATATTGTATTTTCACAATATAATCATATGTGTATATGTGTATGGATGATCTTTATGTGATGGTAGGCACTGATGGGGGTGGATGGCTGCATGGCGAGCAGGTTCAAGCAGGCTAGTCTTGGACCAATCTGTATATGTGATGCTGAGCACCGTGTTCAGATGCCGATACTTCGAACACATATGCCGTACACAATAACGTTTCCTGCGTATCCCTGTTCGTGACAACCTGAAAAGAGAAAAGGTAAAAGTAAGAAAATATGTATTTCTATAACATTTATTTTAGCACAAATTATTTGTAACTAATTTTTTGTTTATACAAAGAAGAAGAAGTACAATAATATCAATATTCTAATAGAATTTTGTGATGTAATCGTAAAATCAAGACAAATAAGTTTAAAATTACTGAGATAAACTCAAAATATAATTTTTTTTTTAAATAAATTTGAATCCGAAATATTTCACACGATCTGTAAGTTTTTATTCAAGAATAAATATAAAGAATTATTTATAATATATAAAATTGACACATATGTCCACATACCTGAAGGATGGTGAAATTTTCGAGAACGCTATTCATCATGTACTTTTCTGGCAGGTGCTTCAGTTTGTGGATGAAATTAATCATATATTCGCACATAGGTGAACGGCTAATACGGTAAACGAACCTGCCATTCTCAAACCTGGCGTACTCTGTTTCTACCTTCTCTACTACCTGCTTTCCGAAAGAACATACTTTCGTCGAACATGTTATCGTCATGTTCTCGTTGCTCTCGTACCTGTTAATACAAAATTTAATATATATATTATATCAAACTAGAGTTGAGTAACCAAGAAGCAGGCATTACTCACTGGCTCGTGACGCCATAAAATACTCCACTTTCGTCTTGGATGTTACTATTGAGATCAGCCCAAAACTTAACGAGAAAGAAAGCTGCTTGCGGTCCTTTATCGTAAAGTTCTTTAAGACCGCCCTTTTTTTCCGGGAATTTGTCATATATCTGTTTAACATCGACCGCTTCCAATAGCGGATCAGCGTATGTCGCGGAACCTCCTATATGGACGAACAGGTGTTTGTGGTACTAAAAAAAGAAATTCACATACGTAAAAGAATATTCATGAACGTACTTCAATTATTATATATTATCTTCATTTATCTGAGAAAATGAATCTTTGGATGTCTTATCAATTTTTCTGTTTTTTGCTCTCTACGAATCAATCTTATCATTAATAGCCGATTATTCAAACACACGATATTTACAACATTATTTTTGCTGTGTTAAAATCTTTCATGATTATCAAGCTATATATCGATATAATCAATATATAGCAATTTTGATTATATCAATGCGACAATTTTTAATTTCTACTTACTATTTGAGATTAAATAAAGAATCATTATCTATATAATAATGCTTTAAATATCATACAAGTTATAAGTACTTATTATAAGTACTTAAGATATATAATATTTAAGTTACGTTTTTTTTCACAACGAGAATTTTTCATATTTTTTTTATCAGACACCAATAAAATATAAATATACTAGATTTTTTATTCTTGACAAAAATTTCTCAAAGGTACGACAATTTTGCAGTATTTATTTGTAGAAAGCAATATACATTTAGACTATCTTGAAATCTTCTCAATTAATAAATTACGATGCTGCTTACAATCTCCTGTTCTCTTTGTTGTTCCATGTAGGCCGAAAACTCAACAAGCCTGAGCTTGTGAGTCGCGATAGCACGTCCTTCCCATGGTGGTGCAGGCTGCGCTTGGACCAAATCACCACTCGAGACCGCTGTCGCAGGTTTTCCGGTGTAGGCAGGCTGAGGGAAGGGTTTGACATCCTGGGACGTTCCTGGTTGCAGGCCTGGCTGCCAAAATTGCTGAAAGTATAGCGCGAATTTGTATCAAATGATGATACTCTTAACAATTAAATTAATTAGTCGATTTCCACTCGCCTGATGTTTATTAATAATGGCTAATTCATTGCTATTTAATGAATAGTTGATGCTTTAGTTACCGAATAGTCAAATAATAGTCAAATTTGCGTAACAACACGATTTTGCTAAAATCGTATAACTAGTAAATACAAAGGAAATAAATTGAAAGTTGATAGTTTTAAGCAAAAAAATTGATAGATCCGTTTCTCTTAAACTATGGAAAAATTTTTACAAAATTTTTAACTTGCATTTTCAAAATTTTTTCGAACAATCGATTGTATTTACGTAAATCTTTATATAATACTACAACTATTTCAGTAAAAAAAAGTTTCCGTAAAAGCCATCGAGCCGTCGGGCGAGGAACGAGCGATAGGAAACAATGAATAAACAAGTAAAAGAGAACAACAACGACAATAACAACAAAAAGCTAACGATCGTATTATTATGTAAAGAGAAAGAAAGACAGTTTGATAAGCCACAACGAACATTTTTTTATTATGCAGATATGTCAAATGTAACGTATACATACTTAATTTGTATGTATACGTGTCGTATATAGGTATGTAATGCCTAGGAATACGTATGTACAAGATTAGAGCGATGGACAAATTCAACAATACACAACAAGGGCCCCCAGGGGCAGCGCAGCAGCAGAGAGCCAGGGGAGATGTCACTTTTGCGAGGGATGGTTAGTTTTCAACGCAAAAGCTTTCGCGCATTGAAGAAAAGAAAGTACACGATTGATCACGGAAACAGCTTTCTCTTGCTATTTTCCTCATTCTTGTTTTATAATTAGATGCGAAAAAGAGCACAAAAGAACAAAACATGACAGCAAAAAAAGCGGAAAATCTAGTTAAGGAAACAAAGGGAACACTATTCACCGCCTCTAATTAATATTATCTAGTTAATATTATTTTCCCTCTTTTCTTTTTTTGTATAAAACGCAGGATACACAGAAAAAAGTCTGATAATAGTTGCCAAATGTTGAAATAATACCAATGAAATGTTCAGTTAATATAATAATTTTTCTTTCTTTAATAAGAATTATCAAACAGTTGGTTATATTATTATGTTTGATAATACTTATTGAATATTTGGGAAAATAAAAATTATTTTTGGTTATATTAGCCGAACGTTTGAGTGACATTATTTCACTTAACATTTGATAGTTATTACAGACTCTTTTCAGTCTAGAAGCAAGTTAAGTCAATCTAAAGATACGAAAGCAATTTTTTTCAATTTTGAACAAATTATTGTTCGTAGATATATCATTTTGTTTCAACATCAAATGTATCTTCGATATATTTAACATATTTAACAATGGTCACAGAAATTTAAATTATAATGTAATATATTATAATTTAAATTAATATTACATTGTATGCAAAAGTTAAGGTTGAATATTTTTACTGAGATCAAATGATTTATTAATTGCGAATGCACATTGTCTCTAAGTGCAATGTTAGTGCCATTTATAATATCTCTGGCATGACACATTTTAATTACACGGTATTATCTCAAACTCTCGTAAGACACAAAAAAAATTTATAGGTCAGTCGACAAACCATGGACATTGCCTTCGATAGGCGGATTAGCGGTTATCGAGCAAAGCGCTTGAAAACAATCACAAACTTCAAAAGAAGAGGCCAAATCGGCAATGCTGATAATAAAAATAAAATTCGTCAAAGACGATATTTTATGTTTTTCCTGCGAGGCTTTCAATCTATCGATATTATATGAATGACATCATATAAATCAATATAAATCGGGAATGAATTTCTATTGCTGTTTCGTTTTAAAATTACATTATATAACAGTCACTAGTGTCACATATAAAAATTTCATTTTACCTTTTATATTTAAACAATCAACATTTATCGTTTGTACAAATTCTTTCATCGCCTGAAATTTGATTCCATTTAAAGAAAAAATCCCTATATAATTTTTGAAAATAAACTATTTTAAAAGTTATCTTTAAAATATTTACCTGGAAAGTTTCACTAAGAATTTATGTAAAAATCGATCTTTGACAACAATAAGGAGTATAGCGCTTTATATGTAAAAATGTCGATTGAAGAAAATTCACAATTTAAAAGTCAATGCAATGATTATAAAAGCGAGAGAGATTGAGGCCGTTTGTTTTACTTAAAAGCGATTCGTCATGCGAAATCACCAGTGCAGTGATTAACTTAATTAATTCGCATTTTATAGAGTCGTCTCACCCTAAAGCTCGTGGCTGTTTTGAAGAGAAAGACCGTTTAAAAAAATGTCTCAAGGGGTTCTCCGAGATCAGGACTTACCGCTCCGGGATAGGAGACAGGGGTGGAAGCATGAAGGGCAAGGGTCCCGCCCATGAGGGGCATCTTGTTGTGTATCGCGCTTCCAGCTGATACTATTTGGGCGCTTGACATGCTTGACATTGTCTGGAGCGCCTTCTCCTTGGCGGCATGATCCTGACAAATTTCCAGACCGATTATCACGCAATGCCAGACGATATGGTATCACATTATCAATATATGATCCCCTTTCTAGACTACGACGAGGACTCGAGACTAGATAGATTTTAGATTGGTACATTAATACAGATGTGCACTCGGAGAAAAAAAAATATTTTTTATAGTGATGAGAACTAGAATATATATATAGGAAACGTATAATATTTGTATAGTTGTCACCACTATGTCTATCTTTTTCTCTGAATGCGTTAACACGTGTTTCAGGAGCGATCTTTAAACTCAGTCAATCTTTTAACTCAGAATAGATTTCTCTTTTAAAAATATTTCGACAAAAATCAAGTTTCTAATATTTGTATCTTTACAAATTTATATTTTCTACATCTGTATAAATGAATTGTGAATACACATATATTATTTCTAAGAAAGCAGAAACTCGTTGAATTAAAATAAAAAACGTTATTGGTACCTTAACGAATTGATTAGGATAAATTGATTAGGATTAAGATAAATCGACTTCGAACTACTAAACAAAATTTAATTTTTACAAAATAATTAACAGATTAATACATTTCTCGTAAAAATATAAACTGCTGAAAAAAAAAATAATGAAGTATGTATATGTATATAATCAAAACAAAATTGTGAAAATGTTTAATACAAAAATTTATACGTTGATCAATCTTTCAATATTTCTGAATCGCAATATTTCCGTGAATCGTAGTGCGCATTTTAAAAAAAATTATAATTATTCACTTCGTGGAAGGACAAACGCAATGTGGCTCGAAAAATCAAAAAATTCGAGACATTTGGGACTCGCGATATCAATCAATAGTCGGCGGATAAATTCGTAACATTCTCAATGATGCGAATCAATTTACCGCTCCCGAACGCGCGATTACCAGCGTCCCTTTTTTTCTCCCTATCTCCCACCTCCCCCTGATATTTTTTTTTCCCCGGTCCCTCGTTCATCGCGGGTCGCACCGCATGCGATGAAATCGATCGCGATCACGCAGTGCAGTTGATTGCAGAAACAACAGCAGCGGCGGCGAGTTCGGTTGCAACAGAAATTCGCGGGAATTCGGCGCGCTTTTATCGGAAAGCCGTCGTTTTAATCAGCGCCCGACCGAAAATCGCTGACGAGGCGAACGAGAGGTGGTTCGTTGCCGTGACGTTCGGAAAATTGCCATGCCCACCGCCACCACCATCATCCAGTCCCACACCGATTCATTCCCGCGCCCATTCGTCTCGCTCTTTCTCTCTCTCTTTCTCACCCTCGTTCCCACGAGAGCACGGGGATTTTCAATTTCGTTCATAAATCCGTAATGGAGGAGTCACTACGAGTGCCGGTCGACCGGAATGAAGCGCCGCCCGCGTAACGATGCGAGCAATAAAGAATTTAGCCGACGGTGCGACCGAAAATCACGGGTTACATTTTGCTCTCGACGTTGTTTACGCCCCTCGCGTGTTCGCTTCGAAATACACAGGGTGAGTATTCCGAAAAGCCGACGCCGCTGTTCCTATTACCTACGGATTTTTCGATCAATTTGCAGGCGAATTTTGTTTAATGAAATTGTCGATGTGTATACATCAATAGTGTATTCCTAACTTGGAAATAGTTGAAAATAAAAAACTCACCCCGGATTGTGTGAGAGAGAACCATGGAACTACAAATAGTTAATAAAAATGTTAATCCTCAGTTAGTTTTGCATGGACTCTGCTTTAATAAAATTTTCATTTTAAACTTATGACATTTAAAAGTTAAAGTTGTCTAGGAAGACATTTGTCTTAAACTTAAAAATGAGATTATAATGATTACGATTTGACGTTGAGCAAATACATATATAAATTGAAACTAAATCTACAACAATTTCAGTAAAAAGGTCCAACGTTAAATGAATTTAATTACCATACATTTTTTTTACTTGACGGTAATAGCTCAACTAAATTAAACAATAAGTATGAGATAGAAAAATTAATAAAGCAAAAAAGTAATACAATCATTCGTTATATAAGCGACCTACTTCTATACGATTTTAGTATAAAAGCAACTAACTTTTTCTGCAACTAATTTTATTTGTTAACATGCTAATAAAATTTATTATGTATAAGATAATTAGTAGAGAAATCCAGTAAAGAAAGTTCTTTGCAATTAATGAAATATTAAATGTATTGAAAATAGAAATGTACGGTAAACATTATTAAAATTTCTGTATTTTTATTGATAATTCTATTATTAAAATGAAATAATCTCAATTCTCACGAGCTAAAGTTAGAAAAAATTTGTGAAATGCGATCAAGTTATAATACATATTCACGATTTTCGGGATCTTCCTGTCATAATTTTCATAATATATATTTTTCATTATTTCATTTTTGTCAAACTCATAGCAACTTAATCTAGGATATATTTAATTCTCTCGAATTATATAAAAACGATATGATGTTACAAAATTCGTTTCAAAATCATTATTATTTTTCTAGAAGATTACTTAACTTTTATCCGAAATACCTTGCAATGCGATCGACGCAACATCAGGATTGGTGAGATTAACCGGCGCGTAAAGTCGATTTACAAAACGGTTGCGCGAATTTCACCGGATAGAATGTAATTTTTTATGAATGTTGGATGACATCGATTACCCGCGAAAAGTCCATTTCGCTGTGCGGGCCGTTGTTCACGTTTGTGCGGAGCGCGCGCTGAATTTGCAGCGGAAAATCAATTCGGTTAATTGAGAGGGTGCAATCCGTGTCGTTTTTTTTAATTTCCACTCTTCGTCCCACATGTCGCCCCCCCCTCCCTCCCTCCCTCCTCTCTCTGTCTCTCTTTCTCTCTCACTCTCTTTCTCTCTGTCTACTTCTCTCTCGCCCTTCATCTCTCGAATACACGCCAGGAATGCAGAGGATTGGGCGGGTAACGGGGTTGGACATGTTTATCGACATTCTGAAACGCTGCTCGCCCGTTTTTGGGCACCCTCCCGCAACCCGCTCCTACTACTACAACCCCTGCTCCGTTATCGGGAGTACGTTTACACCGCAACAATTAATTACGCCGTAATGCCTGGTGCAATTATTTCCAAAATAGATAAAACGACGGACGATCTCGATAGATTGTGATAGTTGGTGTAATATCGGTTTGATACGCGAGCATGTAAAATGTACAGGCAGAAAAGTTAAATAAAATCCATATGAAATGAAATATGCATCGTTAATATGAAAGAAAATGATATAAATATGTCGGGAAAAAAGACGATGAAATTTAAATTAAAAATTACAGATTATTGAATTGAAAAATTGAATATTTCCATTGGAAAATTGACTGTAAAATTCAAGTTCAAAGAAAAAAATTCAAGTTGACCTTAAAGTCTGTTCTTTATTTCTATTATCTACAATTGAAATGTATGGATAATTAGCAGATAAATGATTTTGAAAGTATAAAATAAGCGGTCTTAAAATTTAAAAAAGGAATTTCCATTTTTATTCTTAATTTATTCATAAATCTATTAATATCAAATATCCTATAAAACTCATACATTCTAAAAAAAAAAGGCCGATAAAATTTTTTCTAGCAGACATCTCTAATGCTTATGATTCCCACTTATTTTAGTCAATTTAGTTACGTTTCAATGAGATAAACAATTTCCTTGAAATTAATATTATCTTGTTAAAATATACAATAATAAGCAAAGAGCACGATTTACGTAAGACCGGTGCGTGGGAAACACGAACATCGCTCGCGAAATTCTTTTCCTCTCTGACCGAATAAATCGCACGGTTCGCGGCCGCAGGAAGGGAGGGTAGCAACCCCACCTGAGCAACAAGCAAAAGTCGTGGCGTGGTGCAGCATTCACCCTTCCTGAAACGCGAAAACCAGAAAATTACGTCACGGCGGACCCGTCCCACCCTCCCACGCTTGCTACTTTCCTGAATAATGTTCGCGGTATGCGGCCACTGCAGTTGCAGTCGCTGCAGCTGCGGCTGACCGTGCTTAAAAACGGAAACCCGCGCAAGTATTTCATAAATGGCATCGTGGCACGGAACCGCGCGCGTGGAAACAGACGACATCTTATTACGCGAAAGTCGTGAGCGCACGAGCGTAATTAAAATTGCTCGAGAAACGCCGGCGTTTTCCTAAACTCTTTTGGGAAGTCTAAGAGCCGAGGTACAATGGAATATAAAAATGACAACGCGGAAAAATAAAGATATTATACAATACATTACACGTAAAATTACTCATGCAAGGCAGTATCATATATGAAACGTGTCAAAAATTCACATTTAAAAAAAGATTACGAAAGAATGCTGATAAGCATTATCATTTATTGCAACCAATTGTCTTTGCTAAATCTGAACATAGATAAATAAGCTGGATTAAAATTCGCTTGAAATAAAAAATTATATTTAATAAAAAGTAAAAACGATCAATATTCTTCTATTTGTCTTGAAAGTATTATTTTTGGGAAAAAAAAAAAAGATTATGGTTATATTACAACCGCTTCAAATCGCAGAATCTTTCATTGAATTTCGTTAATTATATCAGTATCGGAGAACCGAGTAATACATTTACGCAATAATTAATTATATCTATCAATTAATTCTTGGAGATAGTAAAAGAAGACGGGTATAAACGGTATAAATTATATTTCACCATCCGTCTATTTAATAATAACGTCTAGATTGCGCGAAATATCCGAAAAAAATTTCGGTTTATCGTCGTCGATTAAATGGCAGTTTTTTTCTACGAACGAGAGTTTTACCGGAGTGCTGCATGCAATCGCACGGTTAATTTACGTTCCGCTTGTTTTTCCACTCTTTTCTATTCCGAATATTGACCGATCCAGTATAAACAATACTCTATTTCTCTTTCTCTCTCTCTCTCTCTCTCTCCCCCTCCTTTCTGTCTTTCTCTCTCTTTCATGTCTTCTGTCTCCCGTTATTTCACCGCCCATCGGCGAAATGGAGGCACCACCGATTGTACCGCCCTGCTTTGATTTATTAACCGGCACGCAATTGTTCGCGAATCGCTTTAATAATTCAGCTGTTGATTAAACGGGCAAGGTTCATTTTTACGCGTGATTTATCCCACGCACTGCTTCTCTCGATATGTGTGTCCCTTGATATATGTATTTCTCCCTCTCGTTGAAAATGATTCCACAACGGCCATCGCCCGCTAATGCTCACATATCGCCAATCACGATTTAATATCATCACTACTACTCACCGAGACAACATTGTGCAAAACGCGAATACAACAGAATTCTGATTATCTCAACGCTGAACGTTTCGATCGAGCATTCGATTGTTTGTAAAAAATGTTGTTTAGTAAAGAAATCTTTTACATGCAGAATTTTAATTCGTACCGAGAGAATCCATGTATTATTAATTATATTAAAATTTATTGAAACAAAAAAAAAAGGGAGAAATAATGAACATTACGAAAAAGAATATTTTTATATATCGACATCATTGTATGATAAAATTAATTTTCTTCCGTATATAGACGTCTTTCTTCAAATATTTTTTTTGTCTTTAAAATTTTTAAAGAAATAACAAAAATTAAAGAAACAATTTGTAAACTGTCTTCTTTCAGTAAAATTCTTTGTTCCATTTTATTAACAGAATATATCACTTAATAATTAATAATATAAAAGATAATATTTAAAAAATTATATATTATTATTTAATAAATATAAAAAATGAAATTAAAAAAAAACACAATTATACAATTATCACTTTGTCTCAACGAATTTGACTATCAAATTTTCAATATATCAGCTACACAATTCAAAGAGAAATAAAAATTCACCGCACATGAGACTCAAATATCAATTCCACGTGCCAAGTATCGCGTTTATACGACACGCGCAACATTTTATTTAATATATTATCAAATGATACGGCGTGTCATCAAGTATTGCGATATTGTTAAATTAATAATCGTACAATCATGTTTATTTCGTATTTCATTATTATAATAATGTGTCATGTTAAACCGCTGTTGCAGTTTATTTTAGTAGTCACAATACGTCGTATTTATACAAATAAACAAAATTTATATCATTTCGAATGAATTTGTTGATTGTCCCTCCACGAAAGAGGCAAGAAACGCGATCGAGACGCACAACGTCGATGGGTAAGCTCGGTGTGATTAAAAAAGATTGAAAAAAAAACCAACGATAGAGATGTAAAAATAAGCGCATGACTGGGAGATAAAATATATACTCACCACTTTAAGTTTTGCCTGTATTTCCCGAAGTTTTCTTCTCGCGAGAACCTGTATGTGCGAGGATACTTGTTTTCGCGTTCTCGTCTTACCGGTCCTCAATTTGATATAACGAGCGATCAGCTCGTTGCGACCTGCAACCAGCGAATTATATGCATACAGATCAGTATTATTTATCAATAAACCGTAAATATCGTTCATAAAAGAATAAATCACGTAACCAAATATACAATCAGACGCATTTAGGTCAAGAGTAATATTCATCCTATTAATAATTTAATTATGATTCATCAAATATTAATTCAAGATAAATGTACCTTCATACATATATTTATATTTCAGATATTGCTTTAAAGGTTGAAATAAATGAACTCGAAATATTTAATAAAATCATTCTTCCTATGTTATTAATGGCAATTAAAGACTTGTAGAATTAAGTGAGACTTTGCAGAACGCGATTTCTTCAAACTTTAAGCTCGTTTTTCTTTCGCTTCTCATTCTTCCAGGTAGTTTCAAGAAAAATCTGGACAACACTTCGTATAAATTCTGATTTCCATGTCGAGAATAGAAACAAACAATTGCGATATCCGCAGAAGCGTCAGAATCAGTCCTGGGAAATTGAAAGTTCCATGATGAAGATTGCATTCTCGCGAGCCTCGAATACGAGAATTCCTTCTAGAATTGACGAGAAGCAGACCGGACGGATTCAAACAAACCCTCGAGCAAACCGCTCGAAATAGGCTTTGAGAGCTGCCTCGCAGAAGCGGCAGATAAAATGCGCTTTACGATAGAGCTAAACCGTCGACGTATTTAATTCAAGCGATTGCATTTTAAACTAACTTGAGGGACGCGCAATTTATCTTGTCTTTATTAGGTCTTATCCATGATCTTTCAACGATTTTATTATCATATTTAAAAAAATATAATATCGATATTTCATGATTGTTAGCATACATTACACTCAGTCAATATAATTTACCAATCAGATAATTCAAAATTATTACTCTGTGATCGAAGTAATTTATGTGCACACACTAATATCTTACTTGAGTCTTTTATTTACAATATATTTACAACAATGTCTCTTTAACTTTTCGCAAAATATTTATATATAATAATAAAAAAGATGATGATTTAAGAAAAATATAAAATCTCAAATCAGAAACAAATCTACATAAACGCTTATATAAATATTGATTTTTATAATTTTGTTCACAGTGATTTAAAAATGACTTTTTAAATAACTGAACAAAATTAAAAGTAAGTGTACAGTGTGAATATTTAAACAATAATTAACCTACATACACAATTTCACCACTGTGGCAGATAATGCAGATTATCTCGATATCATGAATGGCGCTAATTGCCGAACGATTTACTGTAATCGCGCAAAAAAGCGCAATCTCGGTGTCGCGCGCGCGGAAACGATTTTCGCGCAAAACTCGTGGCTAAATTTAGCGGGTGATAAAGTGCACTCGTCATAAATTCTAATTAACGCGGGAGCGCACGTGGAAGCGAGTACGGCGGTCTGAAGCGTCGTTTGGCGACTCAATCCAGCGGATATCCACGCGAAATTACGCGGACGCGTAACGCGCGACTCGGGTTGATAACGAGCATAATAAATCGTAATGAGCCGAAGCGGGCGGGAAGTGAAACGGGAAAGAGGCGGGCGAAACGTCCCGTGAGACGAAACGAGAAAGAGAGCGGAATGCTTTCACTCGATTCGCGCAGTTACACGTGAATATAAACCGCTCGAAACTGCCGATAACGAGAGACGACCGATTTCGAAACGGTGAAAAGAACCGAGAATCGATTCGAATGCACGGGGACGTATTCAGGTTTCATCGCGTACGATGAAAATCCAACGGCCTCCGGATTTAACAACACGAATATTCCATTTGCGCGCTCCATTCCGGAGAGAGGGACAGAGAGAGATGAGCGGGAGTGGAATGTTTTTGTTTTTCTGTTGATCGGAAGCAATGAAAAATATAGCATCAAACTGCGGCGATGAAAATCTCAATGTAGAATATGAAGAATAATTTCGAAATGTGCGACTATCGTTAGCGTGGAGCGTTGATGTTAAAAGTATGAGGGAAAAGAAAAAGAGATGCAGATTTTTCAATGAAATACATTATCAAATATTTTGACGAATTATTGTATCTACATTGATTTTAATTTTCTATGTATACTTGTTTGAAAAAGCAGCATCAAAGAATTGTTCGTGCGGTCAATTTATCGCTTTCTAAATTTACAACAGCTCGAATTCCGATAATTTTACATTTTTACGTGCACTCGTGAAAATATTATTAAATATTACATTGTCGAAATTATTTAATCTTCTAGTTATTTTCATAAAATATACAACGTTTTAAAGCAGAATCCTATCCAACAAACAAAAGCCGGAAAAACTCTCTTCTTCCAAGTCGTTCTTCTCGGACCGGAGTTCGCAGCCGTAGAGAGAATTATTTACGTTATTATGTTAACCGCTACCACGCTACGCATTGAACACTTCATTGAATGGTCAATATGTGATGACAAATGCAACGTAACCGTTCGACAAAACAAAGGAGTTGCCGTTGTGGTCGAGCGCGGGGGAGTTCTTCGATGAATTGATTTCCGGCCGATTGGACCGTGTAAACGGCGTTTCTACGCGCCACCTTATCGCCGCTTAGATTTCACAGCCGTTAAGGTTTTACGATTACCGGTGACCGTAAAACCGGCGCCAGACGGCATCAAACGTGTCGTAATTGAAATAACATTTAACCGGTACGGTAAGCAGAATCACGCCGGAGTACTTCGATATCAATGGATAAACGCGTGACGAGAGCGAACGTCTAGAATTCTAACAACAGCGTGGGAAGTTGTGACTTTGATATCGCAATCGCAACCGATTTGAATTCTGTTTTCGTAGGATACGTGTTCGATTAACAATCGCACGTTTTACATTTATCTATTTTGTACGTCGAGTTGTAAAAGTTTGAAATTACATATTAATTACGCAGATATTGAGAGAATGAATATTTGCATCATTTCAGAGGGGGGGGGGGGGATTACAGGAATGTTAAATCAAATATTTCTCTTTTAAATGCGCACGCTGCTGACACGGAATTAATTGCAGATTCATATTGACTATCAAAGCACTTTGGCGGGGAGTGAAGAGGGATGAAAATCGCAACGTCCTGGCACGACGCGACACAACCGCCCACCGTTCTTGCCGTAGGGCAAATAAATTATTTCCCCGATAAATCTCCAAGTTTCGCGGAAAGTTTCGGAGAGAGATTACCGTCTTGCTTCCTACGGAAAGACTCGATTAAGAGTCGGTAGTGGCGAACACGGCTCGCTAAATGATTCATCGTTACTCGAGCGACGCAATATGTCGAGGATAAACACGAACGTCGAGAAGACGAAATGAAACGACAACGCCGAATCTCCATCCGCCACTCTTTTTTGCATTGCAAATCGCAACTCATAAATTACGGACATTCGTCTTCGTCTCGGACTCTACAAATTGTGCAGACAAATATTGTTGCCGCTCAAGAAATTCGCTCAAGGATGCAGACGTTGTTTGTAATATAAATGTGCAATCAATGTCCTCTTGCGGTGCTGACGAGTCGATCGTGACCGTAATGATTCCTACAAAAGCTAAAAATACAGAATACACAGACTATGGTGAAATACATTTTCCAGTTCAATATAACAAACCTTGTAACAAACAAACAGCGAGTGCACCATTTTTATCGCACTGACAGATATCATTCAAATTACTAATAACAGAGACCCATAATAAAAAAAATTACTCTGTGCTGAGGTGGAGACCCAGCTATTCTTATGTATTTTGAGTCGCTGAATACGAATCTGGCATCAAAATAGGACCATCCTGGGCAAATTTTCAATCTAGAGCGAAAAAATGGGTCAAAAATGAGAAAAATGGGTCGTTTTTTCGCTCTAGATTGAAAATTTGTCCTGGATGGTCCTACTTTTTACGTCAGATTCGTATTCAACGACTCAAAATACATAAGAATAGCTAGATCTCCATCCCAGCACAAGGTACTTTTTTTGTGGGTCTATGATAATTGATTGACCATCCTACGAAGAATTATAAATTGAAAAAAAAAAATTAACGAGATTTCCCTTTAGATGTAAAATAAAAATAATTCATATACAAACGTAAATGCATTTTAATTAAATAAATTTTGTAATATTTTATGAGTCAAAAATACGTGATGGATACTTCATGTTTCTATCCTTTCTCGCATGCAGAAGTTATGAGAGGAATACACAGTATTAGGTGGGCAAAAGAATTCGGGCAACGTCTCGCGGACGCGTCCCCAAATTTGTGCTTTCTCAGTTACGGAAATATGAAATCCGCTCGCTTCCGCTGCGAATCTTCCACAGGAAGTTGCGAGATCGCGGCGGAGGATCGTGACGACGAGGATCTACGAGAGTATGCTACCTCCGTCGGATAGTAACGTAAGAGGGAGGAGAGATGCAAGAGTCTGTAGTAGGGGGTACGAGACGAGAGGGGGCGGAAGGGAAGGGGGATAGGGGGGGGAGAGGTGGTACGGAGAAGCTGAAGCATCGGGAGGAAAATATTCGAGATTCCAGGGGAACCGCGTGATGACTCAATTTCGCAAAGACCGTTAAATGGCCCGCTATGAACCATGCGCCACCGTCGGCCGCGTTCCTTCTCTGTTTTTGAAGGCCGAACATTCTTCGTAGGGGGTCGATTATGCCGGCTTAGGCATCTCCATAGAACGCCACAGACTACAAAGAAGAGACTCGGTTTATTTGACTTTTCCTACCTCGCGCCAGATCGATGGTACTTACGAATCGTTGTGTCAACGACTTTGGTTACATTTTGCCCTTTCGACCTTTTACTCGATGCTTTTGCTCCAATCCGTTCATCTCCTTATCTTCTCAGTAACACATATAAAATGACCTATGCTAAGATACGTGATAATTGAATATTAATAACAGAATGGTCAATATATTGTTATACGAGATCAGAAATACCTATGTTCTTTAAAACAGAGATTAAAGATTTTTTTATGTGTAAAGATTTGACGAACTGATAAAAAATAGATGTTAATCGATAGGAAAATTTTATCGTTTTTTTTAATCTCAAAAGAAGTTG